TACAAAGAATATAAAAAAATTGGCATATAAGACACAGCCATATAATAAACACTTTATTAACCGAGCGAGATTGGTCTGTATGGGAGAATCTTGACCTCGGTCACTGGTACAGACCTCACTGTGTTTGGTCTGTACTGGCGACCTCAGTCAAGATTCTCCCATGCAGACCTCCCGCTTGGTTAATCAGAACTAAATAATAGGGGTTAATAGTGCCATACTGTTGTATAGTCTGGGGTAATACCTATGATCATAATATTAAACCACTCCAAAGAATACAAAAGAAAGTGATTCATCTAATTACCTTCTCTGATTTTGATACTCATACCAAGTCCTTTGTTTCTTCAACTTAAACTTCTAAAACTTCAGGATCATATAAACTTCAAACTATTTACTTCATGCACCAATTCTTTATTGGCAAATTAGCAAAGATTTTTGACTCATTTTTTATTAAAACTTCAGATAAGCTTAATGTTAACACTCGCTTAGCAACTAGGACTACTTTTTATGTTCTAAAAATTCTAACAAACTATGGTAAATTTAATATTTGATTCACAATGGACCTATATTATGGAATTAAACTGATGAGGGATTTAAGATTCTAATGCCCTATTCATTCAAAAGAGAATTATCTATGCATTTCATTAATTTGTATTAAGTTTTATTACTATTTGTTATGTTTTGGTGTTTCTGTTATTTAGTTATTTATTTCAAATACTTTTTAATTGTATACATGTTTAAGAATTATTTGTTCTGTAATCTATTTCTTTAATAAGAATTTAAACTGTAAAATACCTCTTTTCTGATCTTCTATTTACTTTCAATTAATATATGGTGGTCACCCAACTAGTTTAACTCTTTAGTTATTTTGGGTGACCAGCAACTGTATGTATTTTAATTTGTAACCAAAGTAATTTTACAGTTCAAATAAACCTTGTCTTGTCTTGTCTTGCCTTCGCTCACTATTACAACTCTACTTACTGGATAGAAATAGATAAAAATAAACATTACCTTCAAAGTTCTGAGTAAAGTGTGCTCATCGGTAACTAATCCCAGCATGTCTTCATGTTCATACAACTGAAAAGCTACACGCACTTCTCTTAACTCCTGAAAACTGGGACAAAAAGCTGTATAATTAATTATTTTCCAATCTTATGTCAAATTTGACACTCACTATTGCATGGATTCATAAAGTAACCCTCTCCACCTTGCCAGTTGGTAAGAGTTAATATTAAAAATTCCAAGGGAGAGGGATGTGCTGACTAGTTTATATTAAAAAAATTGTTAACAATTATTAAAAAATTGTTTTGGGGGCCCACAGTTTTTGCTAAAACTCTGGCCTCCAAAATATTTTTCTCACCAAAATCCTGTGATCATTTAAATTTTCCAAAAAAAAAATTAATATGGGACACACCTTACATATTGCTAAAAGAAATTAAAAGGAACTAGATGTTCATTAACATTCCATTTTGTCTCTTTCATCTTGCAGAACTTGAGCAACTTGTGTCTTGAATATCCATCTTCTTTTAGAAGCCTTTACAAAGATCATTTACATAATTATTCATTTAATCTCAAGAGGATCAGGATCATGTCAGTTTACCTTAAATATCTTTTAGAGAGCATTTCCACAGCTTTCTCTATAACTCTTGAATTGTATAGTGCATCATGCATATTGTATGTACGATGAATGTCACCATGGAGACACTTGATATCCAGCATGTTTGAAATGGACTGAGTAAAGATTATTCAAGAATAAAGTGGAATGCACATTAGCCAGATTCTAGTTTGATTTAAGGAAGAACAGTCTTTGTTTGAGAATGACTCAGACACACAGCTCATGAGTAGATAGATAGATACATAGACACTTTATTAACTTGTCAAAGAACCTTCTAGTTTGGGAGATATCCCATACTAATGTGGGGACACAAATAAAATGGATAAAAATTACTTACAAAGAATATTACCTACTTAAGAATAAAATTAAGTCATATCATGTATGAAAAAATATGAAATAAATTAAGAAGTACATAGAGCACAGCCCCTGCAGCCATCATCTAATAGGTAGCTGAGGTCAGGCTTACATATGCGGTTTTTGAAACTAGCTAATGTTGTGGCTGATCTGTCATAAGTTGTCAGTTTACTCCATAATTTAGGTCCTAAATAGCGTAGTGAATGTTTGCTGTAAGTTATTGTGTTGTATCTAGGAATAGAAAAGTCAGCCTGTCTTAAATTAAAGGAAGCGTTGTGTTTCTGAAATATATTACAAATATTCAAGGGGCTAAGGTAGTGTTTAACATTGTACATTAAAATGCATATATCCAGTAAGCGTCTGTTTACTAACGAAAGTAAATTAGCTTTCTGCAGCAAACGTTCATAGGTGGAGTGTTTATCTTTGAATACAGCCCTTAGGCCTCTTTGTTGAACTCTCTCCAAACTGCGACTATCACTAGATTTACAAAAATGCCGTGTGAGATGGCAGTAGGTTAGATATGGTAGAATGGCTGCCTTAAAAAGTTGTAATTTTGCATTTGTTGGAATCAAGTTGCAGAGTCTCATAAGCACACCAATCCTCTGACTGGCTTTGTTACAGATAGTATTTATATGATTATTCAAATTCAAATTTGAGTTAATTGTGACTCTGAGAAGTTGGAGAGTAGCGGTCGTGTTGATTTTTTGGCTTGTGAAATACAAAGGAACTATGAGTATATTTGTTACCCACACTGAGAAGAATGCCAGCATGTTACAAGTTACCCCCCACACACACACACTAGGGACCTTAAGCAGTCAGGACGGCAACGCCAAGGAAGACCTCAATTAAAAAATGAATTTCTACTCTTAGTTAGAATTTTTAAAATGGCTGCATGAGCTTACTGTCTCATACGATGCCACAGCTCAACTTCAGCATGACGTATAAAATCAGCGTTGAGTTCCAAATAGAAATTAAAATAATTTGCCGTCGCGGTTTCAGTTCGCAGACGGCAAATTTTGGTGATTTCACGTTATTGTTTTGCATAGGACGGCTAAGAAATGTACAAAGTTTCAAAATGCACATGCTAGGCTATTGTTCTGCCAATTAGATCTCTTGTTTTTCCACATCCTTGTTGCCGTCACCATTGTGGTTGCTTAAGGCCCCTACACTCTGCTCCACACCCTCTTTCTTCTGAACCATATGTCAAGTTTGCAGTTCACCAATATCCCTTTAAACTCTTAGCAACAGGCACTGAGAGAGCACATGCAAGACCTTGCCCAAGAAAAGATGGCATTTATAAAATTGAAAATAACTTAAATCTGTGGAACTACTAAGAGTTCACAATGTACTAGTACATAGCTACGATTTGTCCAAGGGAGGTTACACTGGGTCACATTCAAGGAACTTCCGTGGCTCACACAGCAACAAAACAAAAGTGACATCTCATTTAAATGTGCAATTATGAGTGAGGCATGCAGTGTAAATTCTTCTGATCTTGCTGACAAAATTTTGGTTTGTGTGTTGCTGACTTCAAAATTATTATCTCACTAAGGCGAGAACTGCATGAACGCTGGACCACCCCCCCCCCCCCCAAAAAAAAAACATCAACACTCTAAGATTTTCTCCTCTTCTCACTTTGCTTACCTTTGTGCTGAGGCCATTGGATTTATCCTTTTCAGATTCATGGGAAACATTTTTATGGAAAAGATCCTTTCGAAACTACATGTGAAGGAGAAATATAATATTAAAAATAAGAACTAAAATTGGCATTTCACTCAATTCGAGTAATTACTTCGGTCCATCCAGTGTTTTCAAAATGGCGAGCAGATTGCGTCCCAATCCTAAGCTCACAGAAATCTAAAAACACTTCTTACGATCAGGCACTAAATATAAAAAGAGGTGATGGGAGCCGAAATGCAAAGAAAATTACTTAAACACTGGAATTAGCGTTCACAACCCCTCATGAACAAAGGAGAACAAAGAAAACCCGAAAAGAACATCTAGTTTGTTGTCTTCAGAACGTACTTAATTGAGGGTTGCGAAATATACAGTACGTATTCTGATGAAGAGAACTTACCCCCAAAGCCTTTGCCAGACAGCTGTTTGATTCCAAAAACAAAAATAAGAGAGCTGATGTTAGTTGTGCCCAATCACTACGCAATCGAACGAGGCCAATGTGTAGATTGAAGATTCGAGAACGGCAAATCGACAGGATGCTACGGCTGGAAAAAATAATAGTTTCGAAAAACTACTTTTGAACCTACCGTAACTCTTCCCAAGTATAGAAATCCCTCTTTCTTGGATATTTTAAATGCATTCCGACGAGAAACTTTACTTAACCCTGCAGAGAAATGAACCGCTTTCTACCGCAAAAGTCATTCTTCTCAGCTCAGTTAGCGCTCAAACTCCATGACAACGTGGTCCTTTGGGACAGTGGAACCTGCCAATCATCTGGCATTTTAAATTTTTGGATCGGACAAAGGGATATCGAAGTATTCAACCTTTATTCAGAAATTTTTAGTCCTGAAAAGGGTTTGCCATCACGCAAGACATCTAAATAAATTAGCAAGTTTCATTAAAAGGCAAAACGGATAAAAAATTTTTACACAACATCAGTTATATACAAAATTATAAAGTTAACATCAAATAAAATACTCAAATAAGGCCTTTTTAAAAGGATCTGCGGACTTAATATTAACAAAATCGTTCGGTAATGCGTTCCAGTCCTTCACAGTTCTACAAAAAAAGCTATTTCTATAAGTCTCGGTATGTAGCTGTAGTTCAATGAACTTGTTCTGAGAGTTTCTTAAATGCCTGCTACGTTTCATATGATAGTTTGGAAGGGCCAGGCCGCCATCACTATGAATTGCTTTGTGGAACAAAGTTAGCCGCGAGATTGTTCTTCGTACCTCCAAGGGTATCCAGTTTAATTCATTCAATAAATTTGTGACTGTTCCTAGTTCCCGTGTGTAGCAGTTTTTAACGAGGCGCGCGGCCCTTCTTTGCCCCCCCTCAATCCGTTTGACATGTTTCTTTAGGTGTGGGTCCCAAACCGAGCTGGAGAATTCACAAGGGCTTTGTAGGCCGCCTCTTTCACGCCTTCGGGGCACCTCCTTAGATTTCGTCGGAGAAAACCAAGTGATTGGTTGGCCTTCATGACTTTGTTATTTACATGCAGGCCCCAATCGAGGTTTCTGGACAATTCTACGCCTAGATAGGAGTGGCGGGTGACGGAGTCTAAAACTTTCCCCATAAGGACGCAACAAGACTCAACAGGATTTTGTTTCCTCGATATTGTTAAGACGTGGCATTTGTCGGGGTTAAATTTCATTTGCCATTTCTGAGACCATTCCTGAAGTGCTGTTAGATCTAACTGCAGTTTAGTGGCATCATTATGAGACTTAATAGTGCCGTAGATCAAAGTATCATCAACAAAAAGACGCATCCTAAAGGTACAATTTTCTCCGAGGTCGTTAGTATATAGGAGAAACAAGAGGTGGCCAAGAACCGTCCCCTGAGGGGCCCCTGAGAGAACTGGCACTTCCGGAGAATTGTATCCATCAACGACAACTGCCTGGCTTCGGCACGTAAGCCATTGTGTCAGCCAGATGTTAAGAATACCACGTATGCCATAGTAGCGCAGTTTCAATGGAGGCGCTGGTGTGGAACCGAGTCGAAAGCTTTCGAAAAATCCATGATTATTAAATCAGTTTGTTCACCTTTATCAAGGGAACGAGCAACTTCTTCTACTCTACAAATTAAGTTTCACATAACAATTTTTTCCGAAAGCCGTGTTGATAGTTGACCAATACTTGACTTGAATCAAGATGGGACATCATTTCGTGAAAATAATGTGTTCCATAATTTTACAGGGAACTGACGTAAGAGAGATCGGTCGATAATTGTCTACTTGCCCTCTATTACCTTTCTTGTGTACGGGTACAACGGTCGCTTTGAGCCAGAGCTGAGGAACTGAGCCTGTGTAAAGTGACTGCATGACAGAAACTGTAGAAAGGGAGCGAGTTCAACTGAAGCCTGCTTCAATATGAAGCAAGGGATTCTATCCGGTCCATTAGCTTTTTTACAGTCCACCTTTTGAAGAAGTTTCGTTATTCCCGCCGTACTAAAGTGGATCGGAGGTATGTCATCATATGGACTGGCAATTTCCGAGGGCATGTTTTGCAGGTCCGTCTTTGGTGAAAACAGACTTGAAATGATTATTCAGCAAATCAGCCTTCTCTCGACTGTCAGACACGACATCACCGTTGATCTCCAGAGGAGCGACACCAACATTATCTCGCCGCTTTTTGATCTAATAAAGGTCCAAAATCGTTTGGTCATCGTAGGTCTACGAGTTTCAAGGTCCATCTCATCGGTCTTTCAGGAGGTCCGATTGGTACTTATTGTATGCGAGAGTCAACTTTTTTCTGCTTTGCGCAGATCTTTAAACTTCTTCCTGTCAGCTTGGCTATTTGATTTGCGTGCCTTGCAGCTTGTTGTACGCTTAATACTGAGCCATTCATCCACGGTACATTCCATCGTGATCCCAGTTTCTTTTGAGAAAAGTGCTCTTTCATCACCTCAAAAATTGTTTCAGTTAGAGAGTTGTAGTTTTCATCGACTGATTTATTTTGGGGGTTGTTCGTAAGATAATTGTCTAGGCGTATTTTCAAATCGTTCCTAGCCGAATCTATGTCGCCCTTTTTAAACAGGAAAACTTTCCTCGATTAATCCACCGGTACATGAGAGAGATCAAAGCCCCAGAGTTTAAGATCAAAGTTGTTGAGCAATCTGGAACAACCCTTAAAGCCATGCTCCAAAAATCAGACCCTTTCAAACAGAGGCGATGCACCAATGCTGACTGCCTTCTCTGCCGGACTGACGGAAAGGGATCATGCCGAAGTACGGGTATTACATATGAGTTGGTTTGCCGTGCTTGTAAATCGAAATATGTAGGAGAGATGTCCAGAAGTGCGTATACTCGTGGTAGAGAACACTTCCATGCTTTAGAACGGCGAGAGGAGAGCTCTCTTCTGTGGAGACATTGTTGTGACAGGCATGATAGAAATGAAGTAGGTTTTGTAATGAATGTAACGGGGGTTTTTCGTGAAGATGCAATGTTGAGGCAGATAACGGAATCTGCACTGAAAAATAAGGTTGAAGAGGGCACGTTAATCAATTCCAAAAGCGAATGGAATTATGTCAACGTCCCTAGGGCAGTTATGGCAATGTGGCAGTTCTAGAGACCTGGTTCCGAGCGGCTACATTTCGTGCGTTACTACGCGACGTGCGCGTTTTTTCAACATTTTTCAAATTTTTAGTTTTTTGTTTGTTATCAACTGACGAGGTCGTAGACGAAACTAGTTTTGAAGTTTTCCCAGTAGTGTGTTGAAAGTAGAAGTTAGTTGGAGTTTGTTCACTTACATGGTTAAAATGGCTTTCCTCGATTGTTTTCTAATAATTGACGGTTTCAGAGTTACATCTACAATCACTGCATCGTGATCGCTCATGCCATCAACTATCTGGACATTCTTTACCAGGTTCGGGTTCGTTGTGAGTACTAAATGAAGAAGGTTTCCTCTGCGTGTAGATTGTACTGGAACATAGAGTGGTCGTTTATAGTATCAAGCAGCTTGGCGTTTACTGCTATACCATAGGCGGGGCTACATTTTAGCGAATATCCATCCTTCGTCCAGAGGATATGTGACAGATTAAAATCACTGGTTAGTACTATATTTGGGAGAGATTTCGTTGTAAGTCTGGACAAAGTTTGGTTCAGGCATTCCAAGAGTTCAACAGCGCAATTTAGCGCCCCATAAATGGATCCTATAAAGAGTGGTTTACTTCCTATGACATGTGCTTTCATCCAAACCGCCTCGCAGTTTGAGTCCAGATTACTTTCGTGGGTCGCTATCAGTTTGTTGGAAACAGCTATTAGTACACCACCACCATTAAGATTTCGGTCTTTTCGAAAAATCGAGTAGTTTCCACCAAGCATTTCCGATGAGAGAATCAAATTATCGATGTGGGTCTCATTAGCATTTATACTATCTGGCTTGTATGTGGCAACCATAAGTTGAAAATACAACCGCTTAATTCGAAACGCTCCGCAAGCTGCAACAATTTAACTATAGCACTCGTAATGTAGAGGTGCATTGTGGTGCCTGACCATTCTTTTGCCTACAAGAAGTTGATGATATTTTGTTAGATTTAGATTTATTAGATTCGCCTACAGGCAGGGACCCCGCAACAGCTCGCACCAATTACTGCGGGCCCAGTAGACCCACTCATCCCACCCAGGCGGGGAGGACATCCACCACGCAGTAATCTCGTGCGTGGGAAATTAACGTCTCCTACCCCTAACCCTGCAGGAGACGGGGCCTACGGCTTATTCCTCCTTATCCAAGAAGACTAGAATATCTATCCATTTCTTGATATTATAGAAAGGTAGCAAATTCTCCTCAGTTATTTTAAGACCATGAGTATTGGTCCGGCCGGGGCTCGAACCCTCGACCTCCCGCAGAACACAATCCAGCGCTCTAACCAATTGAGCTAACCGCAGGCGTAAGGCTGGCCGTCGTTTGCCGTGCCATCGAATTTTAAGGAGCGGGTAGTTGATGTAATATCCTCGAGGGGCGAGAAAAAGCTACTGGACAGTATTTCACTTCTGGAATCAAAGAGAGAGCTGCAATGTTCAAATAATTGAACATTGCAGTGTTTTGATCTAAAGTCTGCATTCATTCTTTGTCATTAATTCTGATTGATATTGAACTCAATGAGATGAACACGATACATAACTTGTAGGCGTTTTGCGTTGCGTTCACTCACAGCCTTCGAAAGCCGAGTAAGTTATTACAACGACTGATTAAACGACAGTTTGCGAAAATTTAGAGGCCCCGTCAGGAACCAATCGTTGCTGTAGTTTCTTGCACAAAATTTACACGCCCACAAGTAGGCCTTTCCCGT